CCAATTTCCCAAACTGGTTTTTAAGAGTTCATCTTTTTGTCCACCTGTTAGTCCCCATACATTTGGTTTCTTTACTGCCGGTTTCTGCTTTTGGCGATTCTTACCAGCTTGATTTTTACTCTTCTTACCCATCTAGGCCTCAGGGAGCATGGGTTAGAAGATGGCCACTAGTGAGGGGGAAAAACAGAAATGGTGGAAGCTAAGGCATCGGAAAAGGAAAAATAAAACTTTCAGAGTTTTTTATGGTAAATTAAGGATGGCATGCCCGGCTAATGCTTTAAAAAAACTGCCCCTTTCAAATTTTCAAATTGGATCAGGGCATACCTGGAGGTTCTTCTTTTAAAAAGGAGCGGTGCTGCCAAGTATTTGTTTTTTTCTATCCAGCCTTCTCTTGGCTTTTCCTGGGAGAAAAGTCTATAGACTTGTATTTTCTATTTTGTATTTGTAATTAACAGTTCAGGGAATTAAACAAAAAATGATTGAATGTTAGAAAAAGTTAAAAATTCAACCTCATTTCAGCCAGCCGAAAAAAACTCATTTTAATTCCTCAAAAAGGCCAGTATTTAGGTGTTATTCTTTACAGATAGGGGAAAACTTCTGCCAAAGAAAACCACAGTTGCTGACAATGTTGCTATGGTCTCTCTCAAAGACAAAGGCGTCCAAGGCCAATGCTTGAGGAAACATTTATATAAAGCCAATCTCTTTATATGCTTTATCTCTGCAGCCTCTTCTTAATTCCACAATGCCCAATATTGCAAGGCTGTCATTTCCCTGCTCTCTGGGATGAAGGGCGGGCTAAGTAAGGCTGAAATCAGGCTCGGTGTATTGTTTTATAGCTGGAAGCAAAACCTGCAGGGCCCCATAGTTGTGATACTCACTTCAGGGCACCAAGAATCCACCCTTGATCTTTCTTGCCAAGGGCCGGGCAGGGCCAGACTCCACAGGGGAATGAGACAGTCATTGGCCGAACAATAGTTTTAATCTGGCCAAAGAACTGTGGAGGTTCTCTTATGTACTGTTTGCGAGACCCCCCAGGCCATACCTGGACATAGCAAACGTTTAGAAAAACAACATTAGCTGAAAATGAAGCCCACCATACATAACTTTGGGGGCAATACTAAAAAATGTCTTATTGTTATTATGAGTTATTTATGGAGTTTTAGTATGTGATTTGGATGTCCACTGACTACTATTTATAACTGTCTCCCACACTAATGATTTTAAGGGTGCCTCCGGTCAGGGTTTTTGGAGGCCTATCCACCGATCACTAGAAGCAGTATCAGGCACGGATACGATGACCTGCTCTATTTAAAGCCCTTGTGTTTATAGTGTAACGCCACACACTTCACACAAAAACCTACACCTCTAATTACACACCGGGCTTGCCCCCACCCGCCCCTTCTCCAGCATTACAGGGGCTGCTGACCCCATTTAAATTTGTGCGTCAGCAGGTTAAGTTTTATATGATCTATTGCCAGTGTCAAGTTATAAAGTTATGGCAAAATTCCCATGCCAAGTTCTTGTTAACTCTTATCAAGAAGCGATAGAAAACATCCAGAGTGGAAACAAACTTGGCATGGGATGTTCATGACACAGAACCGAAAGGCTCTACAGCGGCCAGAACATCATTGGCACCCATCCAACGAGCATCAGTGATATCGGTGAAGTGAGGTGCTGCCGTTACCCAGTCTGCATCTGGCAAGCACTACAGAAGTATTCACCTCCAGACTTCTCATAAACATCAGCTCTACATGTTATACCTGTCCTAGATTGCACACAGTTCTTTAAACTGCACTACATTTGTGAAATTAACATTGATCTTCATTTACATTATACCATTACATCTGCATTTCATTCAAACAGTCAAATCCTGTATTGTACTATTTAACTATAAAATAAGGAATCTGTCTGAATGTCAGTCTGTCCTTATTAATATGTTAAGAAATGTTCATTTGATTGACTTCACACTCAGCACTCTGTTAGGTCCTCAATGCACCTGCCAAGTATGTGTGATTGGTGATGACCCCATTCATTTTAATGCTTTGATATTCTCTCACATTTACACACACACACACACACACACACACACACAGTGACAATGACTGAATGAATGAGCCACGATGCACATGACGGGGAAAATAAGGAAGTGGCAGAAGGGTAGGGAGCTGGCTTTTAGAAAAAGTTAGTTTCCCACGCAGTCTGCTACTTCTGCTGTCCCGTCTGATTAGCTGCTGTCACCGATAAATAAACCCCATTGATAGGATGTAACAGTCTAGTAAAAGACCTTCTCATGTGAAACACTTACAACATAGTGGACCCCAATTGATTTCTGGGTCACAGACCAGAGTTCAGATGAATGAAGATGCCAGGAAGCATTACGAGCTAAATCAAACACAACCACTGTGTCACCAGCTGCTTCTTTTCATTGGCCAGTGGCAAAGAGAAACATCATCCTCAGCTTAGCAGACAGCTTGTAATCTCGCCTCGTGGGATATCAATGATCATGAGAAAGGTCAGGGATCAGCCCAGTACTACACAGGAGGAGCTTGTTAATGACCTGAAGGCAGTTGGGACCACAGTCACAAAGAGAACCATCAGTAACACACTACACCATTAAGGATTAAAATCCTGCTGCATGCACAAGGTTCCTCTGCTAAGGCACATGTACAGGCCCGTCTGAAGTTTGCCAAAGAACACCTGGATGATCCGGAGGAGGCTTGGGAGAAGGTGATGTGGTCAGATGAGACCAAAATAGAGCTATTTGGCATCAACTCGACTCGCCGTGTTTGGAGGAAGAGAAATGCTGAGTACAACCCCAAGAACACCATCCCCACTGTGAAGCATGGAGGTGGAAACCTTATGCTTTGGGGGTGTTTCTCAGCTAAGGGGACAGGACGACTTCACCGTATCGAGGGGAGGATGAATGGGGCCATGTACCGGGAAATTTTGGGCAACAACCTCCTTCCCTCAGTGAGAGCACTGAAAATGGGTCGTGGATGGGTCTTCCAACATGACAATGACCCAAAACATACGGCCAAGGCAACAAAGGAGTGGCTCAAAAAGAAGCATATTAAGGTCCTGGAGTGGCCTAGCCAGTCTCCAGACCTAAATCCCATCGAAAATCTGTGGAGGGAGCTGAAGCTTCGAGTTGCCAAGCGACAGCCTCGGAACCTTAAGGATTTGGAGAGGATCTGCATAGAGCAAGCATAAAAACGGGTCAGGGGTGAAAAAGGTGAGAAGGATATTACCCCTCTTGGGGGGTCCGGGGGCATGCTCCCCCGGAAGAAAATCTTACAAAGCATGTTGACCTCTGTGGGCTTGCCAACAAGTTTCTATGACCAAAGTTATTACTCCTATTGTTCTGATGGGATCAAAACTTATTTCATGAGAAAATTATGATAATAAATTAGGCTATATAAAATTTGTACAATGTTCTGGATTTTTTTGTGATATTCTGTCTCTCAATGTTAAAATGTACCTATGATTAAAATTATACATCGTTCCATTCTTTCTAAGTGGGCAGTTCTTCTCTAGAGTTGACAAAGACGCCACAGAAGCTTTTCTAATAGGATTCGGTCACCAAAAGCCGAGCACACCGCGGCACACACTGTTCTGGCTTTGGAGAGCACCCATGGGGGAGGAGGGGAGGGAAGGTGTGCAATAAAAGGTCAAATCTGGACAGAGACATTGCAGTGACTTCTGAGGCTGCTCGTCCTCCACTCCAGTGTATCTTTACCAACACTGTCGGCTTGGATAGATGATCACAGAGAGAAGGTTCTATTTTGGAAACCTGGTACTCCTTTTTAAAAATCTAAAAGCCTGGAAACATCTGTCGCAGTGTGACACATCTGTGATGCAGTGATGCGTTTTGAAATAAATGAACTTCTGCATCGGAGAACAAAGTGAAGAGTGGCTCCAGTTCATCAAACACGAGGACTCTCTGTGTTCAGACTTTTACTTGTTTGTGTCGCATGTAAAGTCAGACTGCGGTTCAGGTTCAGGTCTGTACACAAGACTTAAACTGAAGACATTTTCTGTATATTTGTTATCTTATTTTAACGCACAATATCGTTTTAGTTAGTTTTTTCATTAGTTTATAATCAGCTGAAAATAAGAATCGTTGTTGTCCAACATGTTTGTTTGTGTTTGTGCCCCCCAAAAAGACAAAATCACACCCCAAAATGACTTAATTAAAAATTAATGTTTAAGTTAAGTCCAATACATTTTCATTCCAAGCTGTTTTTATGACCTGTAATATACATCTAACTTTTGGTTTGTTGTGCCCAAGATTAATTTAATTGAATCTGTGTGCTGCAGTGTGTGTGTGTGTGTCGAGGGGACGGATGAAATTAAGCTGATAATGAAGCAATTAAGTAATTTTAGGGGCACATATGACTAATTTGAGGGAACAATTTAGAAAAATTGAAGGTGCAATTACTACACAGAGAGGAGATGGAGTGTTGTAAATTAGTTCCTAAATATATTCTCTTTGGTTCCTCTATGTAGACTTCTCTTTATAAACAGTGTAGTCCTTCAAAAAACATCCACAATGTTTTCATTGTTTTAAACTCCAGTTGCTAAAACTTCCTTGTCAGTAAAACGTAAAGTCAGTCCTCGTTTTC